TTTTATTTTTATTTTTTTTTATGGATTTTGTTTAACATTTTTGTTAAGGAGTAGTACATTAACTTGAATTTTAAAGACAAGAAAAGGAAAATGTATTTCTGTTTCATTCACACATCTATTATATAGGCTTTGAAAAGTGTTTGCTTTAATTTCCGATATCCAAAAACATTTTCAACACACCTAAATGTCATAGAGAATGAAAAGAGCTGCAAATTGGAGCATACTACAGTGCTAATCAGGAAGGTCCTCAGGAAATTCCATTTATTTCCAGTAGGAGGCAATAGAGCTTCGTACAGTGCAATGCATGTACCGTAGCTACTCCACTGCTTCATGCAACATCAGTGTAAGACCTGTGAATTTTCTACTTTTTTGCTTGCTGTAAAGCTCATTTAGTTCAAGGCCAGTTTTTAGACTAGGTTGTGCAGGTGTTTCTAGTCTATTAAGAAAAAAAGAGGTAATGAAAATTAGCAATTCATTTGCCATTTACAGTCTATGGTTTACACAGATTACTTACTATAATAAATATATTTTTTAAAATAACTAAGTATTTAAAAAAAGAATGCAAAAAATATCTCTGGTTTTCGTAGCAATGAGATCAAATACTGCCATCTGCTGTCTCTAATTCTTTTATATGAGCATCATTAGTTTCATTATATTTTTGTGGAAGAAAGAATATGCAAATACTTAAAGTGTGATAAATATAATTTGTTTGCTCCTAGAACAAATGACCTGCACCATAGCTGCTGCTGTTTGCACAGATCTTTGTTCCAGGCTCATCAGGTTAGTAGCTTTATTAATGCACACAACTGGGAGAGATTAGGGTCTGATTTACTTACCATGACAAATTAAAATAGTCCACTCATTGTTTGTTGAGATTTAGCTGTTTTAAATGTGTCCTTTCTTTTTTATTTGCAGATGAAACACAGATAACCACATGCTATTCAGCATCAATGGAACAGGCAGCAGCTGCCTTTGCATCGCAGTTAAGCCACATTCTTATCTGTTTTCACTTCGTAAAGTCATAGGGTCAGTGCAGTGGTTTGCCGGTCAGTGCTGCTGTGTTATGGCAAGGCGTGACCCAAGAAAGGCAGTAAATGTACCGCCATTGTTCTTGATGTAGTTTTTATGTACGGACAATGTGAGCAGTTTGTCTAACTGAAGTGGTGATTAAAGCTGACAAATAGGACCAGAGCTAAGAGCCATTGGCTGAATCCACGCTAGGGTCTCTTAAAGCTTAATTGGCATTATTTTGGCTTTGAAGGGTCACAGGCTTAAACCTTTTATTGTGGTCACCGTAATGCCAATCTTCCTCCCCCACTTCTGCACCTCCCTGCACAGTTTTGTTCTTACCCAGTCAGACAACCACCTTCACCTCAGCGCGAGTGCTCTTTTTACCTCCTTTTTTTCCCCCCCATAACCTTTGACCTTATGGACTGATCTGCAATCATCTGGAGCAGTCCTCCCCTATTTAATTCTCTCCTTTGTAGTCACTCTGACACCCGGCAAACTAATTGGGCAATTTGTTTATGGAAAACATTGGAGGTTTTGTGTAAACATCTTTTGAAATTGTTTCAATAATATTACCTAATTAATGAAAATTTGTAAGGAACTTGTATTCAACCGAATAAACCATTTAGAATGCCCTTTTAGATTCTACCTAAGGTTGCTGTATATTTTAAGACTCACTTTTACACAGTGTGTGAAAAATAGCAAATATGATATTATAAAGACAATGTGATGTTTAAATATTAAATAATTGGCATTTATGTTGTCATTGTACTAAGGTTAAAATAAATAATTAAAATATTATCTTTACTGTTTCAATTCAGTATTCAGATTTATTTGTATAGCACATTATACAATAAATCCAAAGCAGCTTTAAAGAAGATTTTGAAATTCAAATCCCAGTGAGCAAGATAAAGGGTTTTTAGGGGCAAACTCCCTAAAAAGATCAAATACAAGCATAAACTTTACTTGAAAACATGAACATTGCAAGTCTTACACTTTAATTTTATTCCCCCCACAGATCTGTTTTTGCCACCTGGGGGTCCCTGGACCCCATTCTGAAAACCCCATGTTCTAGATAATGATGCGCCAGCGTTTTAGAAAATGAATAGGAACTATTTGAGGTAAGACATTAACTTGGTATTTATTTGGTGCCTACAGGGACATGGTATGATGGACCGGTATGAAGAGGGAAGAGGAATGAAGAGAACAAGGTAGGGTTCTCATTGTAGGGTGGAAATCAGGGAAAGACAGGAAAAAAGTGTGTGGGGGAAGAGAAAGTGAGAGTGTGTGAAAGAGGAGAGAGCTAGACGGAGGCTGAGAGAATGTCTCAAAGGACTAATGTCCTCATTGTACAACCTGGTTTGAATGCAGACAGATTCTCTGAGAAATTAGGGCAGGAGAGAGAACCACCAGAGCATTACAGAAACACCATGCACAGATAAACTCCCTTTTCTGAAATGGATAGCATAAAATGTAATACCTAATGTGGAAAATCTCATAATTCATTTCTAAATTTTTATTAGAGAAAAATTTAGATTTTAAAAGATAAATAATCAACCTGTAGTTTTGTTTTGATTAATAAAAAAACAACTTGATTTATTTAGTAATTTTCTCTGAATAGAAGCTTGTTCCAGCTAAATCATGTTTTCTAGAATGAGTCTGTTTGCTCTTCAGGCTTATCAGCTCAGCGTGTGTTTGTGAGAGTGGGCTGGAGAATATGAGCAGTGTGATTCCATGGGTTGTGCATGTTTTTGTCTGTGATAGATAGAGTGGTCTGTGATAAGTATGCATTTATGTGTGACCACAGCAGTGGTTTGTTTTGCTACACTCGGCAAGCAAAAAAGTCTCATCCGGTTGATCAGTGAAATGGCAAATACAGCAGCATGTACACTGAGACAAGGCGCTTATCAGAGTTATCCAGACAGCCGCACGCAGACAGAAGAGTGAAAACAGACATGCACACATTGAAAAACACCACGGAAGGTGTGTCTTCACCTTCATACTGTAAATCGGTGTTATACTATTTTTATATTTTAAATATGTTAATTATCCATAATTGATTTTGACCATTTGAATTGCTCAGTTTACTTACTTTTCTCTTAGAGTTCTGTGAATTTCGTGTTGTAGTTGTTTTGTTTGTGGTGGTTTGTGTTTGTATCATAACTTAACATTGTTAGCATATCTTAACATAGTATAATAGTAAACATAATAAATTTCAGTCCTTTTCAGATGCATGGTTATGTAAGGGATACTGTACAATTCTTTTTGTTAATGACATATAATTTATTACATGGCTACTTAACAAATAAATAAATATAGGGACCTGAAATATTGACTGGAGTTGAAATTACTTTATCAAGTAAAAAAAAAGAGAGCGAGAATTCAGACTGAAAGGCAGACGTGAAATTATAGTAGCACAATTTATCAAATTGTGCTACTATAATGAGTCAAATATAGTGGCAGTTTAATGACTATTATAGAAAAATTGCAGGATAAAGTATTCTATACACTGCCATTCAAAAGTTTGTGGTCAGTAAGGTTTAAAAAGAACACTATTTAGAAAAGACACATTAAATTGATCAAAACTTAGAGTAAATCCATGCATAATGCTACAAAAGATTTATATTTCAAATAAATTCTGTAAATAAATCCTGAACTCTCTATTCATCAAATAATATTTTTAAGTAATGTATCACAGTTAAAAAATTAACCAGCTCAACTGTTTTCAACATTGATAATAAGAAATGTTTCCTGAGCAGCAATTCAGCATATTATAATAATTTCCGAAAGACCATGTGACACTGAAGACTGAAGTAATGATGCTGAAAATTCGGCTTTGCATCACAGGAAAAAACACATCAAAGGAATATTACATATTAAAATATATTCAAAAAGAAAATAGTTATTTTAGACCGTAATAATATTTCACAGTATTACTGTTTTTATTGTATTTTTAAACAAATAAATGCAGCCTTGGTGAGCATGAGCGACTTTTTTTCAAACACATAAAAAATCTTACTGACCCTGAAACGTTTGAATGGTAGTGTATAAAGAAATAATTTGTGTTGTTAGACTTGTTTGAGTTTCAGTAGAGGTCAAGGTGTTCACTAAGGGGGGTGTGCCACCTCTGTTTTGTGAGAACTTGAGAAAAGCAGTAACACAAGTAGGTATTTCACATCTTACTTAACCAGTTGAACACTTTTGCTCAGGTGTCTTTTTACCTCACACATTCCTATTCTTTGCAGAAAAAACACTTTGTTGGGCAAGCCAGTCATTTTGTGATGCCCCGTGGCATATGAAGGGTCAGGGGGTTAGTTAGGTGCCGTTCTCCCAGCAGTGGTTTCAGTGGAAACCGGGAGCCTCCCATTTGTGGTACAGACCTCTTGCCATTTAGCCACCTGCCTCCAATAAAGAAAAGCAAGCGGCTGGCAAACTTCAGCGCTTGCCTCGGGCAGCTGGACGTGTTATTGATCGGGTGGGGGGAGGCTCTTTCCCTCCTCTCTTTCTGATGGAGGCCGGACTTTGGTCTGAGCTGCATTCCTGGGTTCTGTTCAGCTCGGAGGCAGAAGGGAGGGAGGATGTGGAGGGGAGGAGGGACCCAGGGGCTGGAAATCACTTGTCATGTGCGTATAAAAGTGTGCCTTTCATTTCGGCACGCTCAGCTCCCACTAAATCCAGCCCCCAAATTTGAACTGGAGGGAGGGGAAGTTACGGAGCTGACTCTTGTGTTGTTGTATTCTGTCTGTTTGGCTCCCACCCTGTGTGGCTCCTTCTGCACCTCTGACTCTACGGTTGATAAGGAGAACACGGATTACTCTGGACGACATTGACAGAAATCCATGTGAGATGAGTGCATGCTCTTTTTCTGAATTGTGGTGTTTTTTGCCCCTGTACAGTTTATCTGTTAAGCCAGGAAAAACTTCATCAGAAATATAAGCAGCAGTTGAGATAAAAATCTGAAAAAGAATGAGGTCAAAGAAACTTTGAAGTGTCGTTGAGCTTAAATGGAAAGAATTGGCTTGTTTGCTTCAGGTCGGCAATCAGTGAAGTATAAGAAAAGGTCAGGAGTGATGTTTGCCTTCTGTTTACGTGCTGGCAAAATGGGGTTAGGAGGCTTGGACTTGTATAATGATGTGGGAAGACACGTGGATACATTCTGAGAACTCCTGCATTGACTCAGGGCTCAGAGTTTAGCGAAATCCTCGAGAAGCATCTTATCACCGCTTCATGTGTGGCTGCTCTGATTCAGAGCGAATATCTGTCTGAGATGTGACGGGAGGGCGGAAGAGATTTGTCTCTACTGTGGCCACGTGGGTATGATAAAAGAGGGCAGATTTCATAAAGTGCTATGCTGTTCACGTGGTTGTTTTTCTGAATTCTTTCAGCATCTCTTTCTGTGGTCGTGTGAAGTTGTATGCTGTTGTGCCCAACAAGCTGTTGACAGAGATTTTGTGGATTCTTACCACTAACATATTCTTGTGTGTTTTAAGAATCTGTGCTCTCATTGTCTTTACACAATATTTTGTGAAGGTGCAAATGGTTAAAATGTTTTGTAGAATGTGGAACACTAATGTACTTGTCACCTGCTGCATCTAAAGTAATGAAACAAGGCAGCAGTACTATTATAAGCAGTAACATATCCAACTCTAATGGGTACTTTTCTGTCATGCTTTATGAGCTCATTAATGTAACCTTGTAGTGCAAAGATATTTTAATTTGACTTTATTTAACTGCATGTTTCAATAGTCTAATCTTAGTTAATGTATCCTCCAACCTGGATGTGTTATTTTGAAGTGTCAGACTAAGATGATGTCATTTTCAAGCCCCCCCCCCAGCTAAGAAAATATATGGAGAGTTTGGTTCCAAAACGCTATAAATCCATTTTGATTAATTTGAGTAAAAATGTGTTTTCTTTACCAAGAAAGTGGCAAGATGAAAACCACTATTTTCTGTTTCAAACTTTCACATATTTAGGTTATAATAACATAAAAAATTCAAATCCAGATTTTGATTTTCAAATATTTATTATAAAATGTGATTTTTTTCCCCAAAATGCAATAAATCCATTGAATCAATATAAAAGTTATTTTTCATATTGAAACTGTTGAAAATACACAACATAGTAAGTTGATCCACATATGACAGCCTCTGAACTTGGTCAATACTAATCTTATATACAGGCACTGGACTAAAAATACATTCAATCAGTCATCGCTCCCAAAATGAATTCAACGGGTCATCTTGTTAATGCTATAAAT